TATGTACATGCCTGTATTTAGACCTCTATAAATGTTCTTGGCCTCCTAGTTCTTTCCTCTATTTTCTTTTACTTTCCTCTTGTCCCACTATCATGTTCCGCCTTCATTCAGGTTTCAGTAATTCCTATCGGCTACATTGTCCTTGATCAAGCCATACCAGGCATCCTACAGCATGCCTCTCTTACCCCACACACCTCACTCACCTGACCTCGCTCCATGCAACTACTTTTTGTTTCTACAAGTGAGGAGGGACATGAAAGGACAACGATTTGACGACATAGAAGAGGTGAAGGAAAACAGGAGGGACGTGCTGTCAGTCATGCAAACAGATGAGTTTGAAAAATGTTTCCAAGAATGGAATTACAGATTTGACTAATGGATTAAGTGTAATGGAGAGTACTTTGAAGGAGAGAAGGTTGTTGTATTGAAAAAAAAAATACATAGCTCTGGAAAAAAAGTTCCAGCGTTTGGGGGGTACCCCTTGGTATTACATAATTCAGTACATTGCCCCGTTAGTGCTCACCAGATAATGTGGTGGTGAGGATTAAGTGAATGCACACACAGAAACACCTGGACTTGTGCCGGGCACTGACCAATGTCTTCGTACTCCTTGTGTTACTACTATCCAGTCCAATTACTGCCAAGTCCTTTCTGACTCGTGGCAGCCCCATGTGGTCATAGACCGTCTCCAACGGCTGACGGTGCACGGGGAGATGCCAGGCCTTCCTTTCAGGGCCCCTCTAGGTGGACTCAAACCCCCAACCGTATCACCACCCCCACTTTATAATTATGTTAATTCAAAACAGCAGTGTTTTTCTTTTAGAAATCAATGAAAAAAAAGAAAACAATGAATGGAGCTTTATTTTATCTTGACTACGACTACAGGCAATCTCCTGTATTACAACTCTGTTTCCAAAGAAGATCCATTCCAATGTCTCCACATCCAGATGCAAGAAATGAGCCCTGGTGGTGCAGTGGGTTAAGCTTTGGGCTGCCAACCACAAGGTTGGCAGTTCAAACCCACCAGCTGCTCAACAGACGAGAGATGAGGCAGTCTGCTCCCATAAAGATTTAGAGTCTCAGAGACTCTAAAGAGAAGTGTTGCTCTGTCCTTACAAGGCCACTCTGAGTCTGAATTGACTTGGCTTTGGGCGATGCAGCTTTTAAATCCTGGATAAGGCTCAAAGTTGCACTTACAGCAAATGAGGGTGGTGGTGATGAAGAATTTGCTGATTCAATTGTTTCAAAGTGAGGGGGAATTTATATAACATGAAAGAGCAAATATGAGTTATCAGTAAGTCAGAAGTTTGCAACCAGGGGACTGAAAGGCTATTAAACTTTAACACACACACACACACCACAAAACAAAACAATATAAGGGGAAAAAATAGCACAATTCTCCTTCAGAGAAAATGTCTGTAAAGGTGAACTCCTTCCAGCCAGCTAAGTCTGGAGTGATGCCCCACAGCCTTCTGATGTGCAACCCTTTACCTCCCCCAGCCCGGAGGGAAGAGGGTGAACCCTGCAGACCCATGGAAATGAGTGGTCCAATGGACCAGTGGGCCACGCCAATCTCCATCTTCTGAAGGCCAGAAGAACTAGCTGGTGCCCAGGTACCATCACCAACTGCTCTGAAAGGCCTCACACCTTGCCTGGTATGGAAAGAGTGGGAGAAAAAAAATGTGGAACAAAACTCAAAATCATAAAAGACACCAGGCTTATTGGTCTTCTGGGACTTGGTAGAGCCCCCAAGACTGTGGTCCTTTGTCACCCTGCAGGTCTGGAAGTGAATTCAGTCTGCAGTCAACAAAGACAGTCTGGAGGAGGTTTACCGAACAGACGGTCAGTTTTACCTTCAATCCCGACCTTCTCAACTCAGAGGGCTGATGATTCCAATGTGGAAAGGGCAGGGCTGACCCAAGCACAGAGGGTTCAGAACAAAAAGAGGAACGAAAACAGGAAACATGGGGAGGAAGTGGGGCGAGTGAGGCCACCCAGAGGGCATGGCCTCCAGCGAGATGAAGCAGAATGGGGATGGATTGTTGAATGTAAAACTGTTGGCCTGCTCTGTAAACCTGCATGCAATTCACAATTCATAAAAAGGTGTGGGTTTTTGTTTTCTTTTGTTTTCAAGAAAGAAATGAGGCTACATGCCTGGGGGCCTGAGCCCCTCCAGCACACGTGGCATGGGTCCTGCTTCCTGGACCTGAAAGCAAGACTTGGCGCACTATCTCTGGGGAAGCCAAGGTGGCCTGGCTTCATGGGTAATGGTTCCCAAGTGGAAGTGATTTGTGTGTCACAGGGCACGGGGTGAGGGTGAGGGGTGGGGGGAACCACTGACACCTAGGTATCAGAGACCAGGGATGCTGTCCACAGCCCCCACCGCAGGAAATTAATAATCTGGCCCGAATATCAATAGTGCTGAGGCTGAGAACCCTGCCTAAGTTTTCTCTTCCAGGCAGTAGTAAACACTTCCACCAAGAGGGTCAGTCGACTAACATGCACCCCTATATTTGTACCTATAGTTAACATTTTTAAAATACACTTGAAATGGTCTGCAAGTAACTGCCCATCACCCCACCCCCACCTCCATTCAGGCTCCTCCGACCTCCCTCCCAATCCTTCCCTTGATCCAGCAGCTGAAGGGTTTAGACCTGATATCAAAAGTGGGAAGTCCCCGGGTGGTGCACATGGTTTGAAACATGCCTGGTTTCAAACAGAAAATTTGGAGGTTCCAATCCACCCAGAGGTGCCTTGGAAGAAAGGCCTGGCGGTCGCCTTCTGCAAACAGCCTTTGAGAACTGTGGCATGCAGTTCCACTCTGACCCACTTGGGGTCACTGTGAGTCCAAGCCAGCTTGTTGGCAACTGCTTTTTCCCTGAGTCCAAGTGGATGGAATGCCTCTAGTATCCAGCTTCACTTCCGCAGTGGCTGTGTCTGCTCTGGCTCAGGATGGCCTGCCCTTAGATGTTTGGGTCCCACTGGGCGAGAGATCCCAGGAGACCGAGAAGTGAGCTCTCTTGGGGTGAGAATGCCTGCACGTGGCATCTTTATCAGGGGTCTGGCCAGAGAATGGAGGAAGCCCACCTCTCAGCGCCCCGCCCAGAGGAAGGAGGAAGGAAACGTGTCAAGGGGGGGGACACTCTCATTGTCAGCCACTTCCTGAACAGGGAGGGGGCCTTGGTGGAGTTTCAAGTGCTGGAAAAGTTCTGGAACAACATTGTGAAATGACTAAATGCCATTTGAATCGTACACTTTAAAATGGTTAACATGGTCACATTTTATGTATACTGAGTCACAATTAAAAGGGTGGCAGGAGGCGCTTACCCTCAGGGGGGCGCAGCGGGAATAGGGTCTGGCTAGGGACAGACTGCTTTTGTCCCTCTGTCCTAGGACGGGTAGAGGGGGGCTTTGTCAGTTCTGCTCAGCCCTTTAAAAGGAGTCAAACAAGGGCTAGACAACCTGCTGGGGAATGTCTGATTGTATCTAAATGTTATCTGCAAAGAAAATACAGAGGCTTTGTGGAGAAACTGTTCAGCTGGTTGCTGCCTCTTCCAAGTCCTGCTTTAGAAAAAGGAACGATTGATTGAGGGAGGTCCAGCCAAGGAGAAAGGGCCAAGATCTTTGGCCAGAAATCCCGGAGGCACCTTCAATCAAACAATACCTGCCTTTTCATCCTAGCCTTTGGCATTGAAACACGGGCTGTATTTCCATATCAAGGAGTCTAGAAGCCCTGCCATCGGATTCTGCTACACCGATGAATTCTGCTGTATTTATTTAGCCAGGGGGCAGGGATGGGGGCTTTACATACAGAGTCGGAGGGGGGTGGCTGTCAAACATCTATAATTACATCTTTGTGATACTTCTCCGGAGACAGTTTCCGGGAAATGGAATGGCTGGGTTCCCCACGGCAGAGCAGAATGTACTTTCATTGGGCTCCGCCCTCCCAGCCGAGTAAGCAGCTGACATACTCAGCCGCTAACCAAAACATCAGAGGTTCACGTCTACCCAGAGGTGCCTCAGAAGAAAGGACTGGCAATCTAGTGCCCCCAAACCGGCCATTGAGCACCCAGCAGTGGATGGCAGTTGGTTTTGTATGCCTTCTTAAAGAGAGTGGGGACACATAGGTGGGAGCGGAAGCGGATAATGATAAATGATATTTTAAAGAAATCCCTGAAGCCTGCTGCAGCAGGAGAGAGCCCCCCCCTTTCCACCTCACCCCCACCCCCCATGAGCCTCGGGTCCAGGCATGACCAGCAGCTGCACCTTCCAGGAGCCAGCCCCACCTCCTGGGAGCAAAAGATTGAGTTCTCCTCGGCTAGGACCTAGGGACCCACACCTGAGGGGGCTCTTCACCTGCCAAGGCCCCCGAAGACGCTGCGCGCTTCGAGCCTACAGGCCACTTCCCCGCTGCCCTCCCCGCCTCGGGAGTCACAGGAAGTTGCTGACGGGTCCGAGGGGACTAAGTGCATTAGTGGGAAGGTGGCCTCTGGCCGCTTCGTCAGCACATCTGAGGCTTTGGGCCGAGTAATCCTTTGGCGTCTGCCCCAGCAGCTGGTGGTCACAGATCGGCGAGGTGCCCCTGCCCCCTCCCCCTGCCATGGTGTGGGCTTCGCCATCCTCTTCCCCAGGAAGGCTCCCAGCCGGCCGGCCGACCCAGAAGGAGCGGGGCCGAGGGCGCAGAGGGAATCCATCCGCAGGGATGCAAAGAGGCGACAAAGTCAAAATAAACAGTCAGGAAAGCAGGATCAGGCGGACACTGCCGGTGTCTTGTGGAGTAGGGCAGCTGGGCAGCTGTTAGGTATCGTGCTGCCAGACCCAAGGTTGGTGCTCCGCACCCACCAGCGCCCACGGGCACGGGGACCAGTCTGTCTGCTCCGTGAAGCTAGTCTTAGAAACCCTGTAGAGCAGGGGTTCTTAACCTGTGGGTCGCGACCCCCTTGGGATTCAAACGACCTTTTTATAGGAGGGTGCCCGATTCATAACAGTAGCGAAATGACCGTGATAAAGCAACGAAAATCATGTTATTGGGGTGGGGGGCGGTCACGACCACCTGAGGAACTGTATGAAAGGGTCGCTGCATGAGGAAGGTTGAGAACCCCTGCTTCACCCCTTAGAAGCTGTGAGACCTTAAACAAAGCACTTTACCTCTCTGAGGTTCTGTGTCCTCATCTGTAAATCCACAATATAGAAGTGCTATATTGCAAGTGAAAAAGAACGCCTCCGTGGTGATGGATTACACACCATTGCTACAGCCGTGGGCTCAGCCTTGGGAACAATCAGGCTGTCCCGGGCTGTGTTGTGCCTAGAGGTCAGAGCCTACCCCGCGGCGCCGAACCGCAGCATCGGAACCCTAGTGGCGTGGTGGGTCACCCGGGCGGGCTGCTAAGCACAGGGACTGCAATTTGAAAGGACCAGCCCCTCTGCAGAGAAAGATGCGGACTGCTAAATTTTGGTCAAGCTCCAGCCAGGAAGGGGTGGTACACCTACGTGGGCGTGACACCTGGATTGGCCCATCTAAGCCAGGTGAATGTGATGCAACCAATGGGGTGGACCAGGGTCATCGACCACGCCGCCACCCAGAAGTTTTGCTCTGGCGTGCTCTCTGCCTGCGGCTGGTCACTACACAACCCAGCGCGCTGTGCCGAACCGCCAACCGGGCTCTGGACCCTGTCTGGCTTGTGTTCCTTTTACTGTAGAACCTCAAACTGCTTCTAGCTTTCATAGAACTCACTTGGATCGCAAACCAGGCTTCAGAGTGAATTCTTTCTCGAGAGAAACCATGGACCAAGAGAGACAGAGAGAGAGAGAGATCTAACAGCTATGCTTGTAAAGAGCTAAAAAGAGCAGTTTTACCCTGTCCTAAAAGGTCCGACTTCAAAGTATTTTGGTTTACATTGAAGTGTCTGTGGCTTGGCTTTCTTGTGACTGGTGCCTCCAATGCCCTCCTTGTGCACTTGATGTCTCCCCCTGGAAGGCTCGCTGTCCTGTGCTCCCAGGACCCCCGTCCTGCACGGCGGGGTCTTCCCTCTGGGAGGCTGACATACCTCTGTCAACGCTCCAGCCCTTGCCTCCAAGGAGAGAGAGATCTACGGGCTCAGCCCCCTCCCCCCAAATATTCTCCCCCAGGGACTTCCTCAGCCAGGACCTCCTGTGGCCCATAATAAGGGGCTGGCTGCTGGTGTGGGGGGGAGTGGGGACCAAGATGCAGGCAGGAGGTTGCCACCACGTGTCCAGGGAGACACTGGGCAGGTGGTCCAGGGGTGCCTCGGGCGATGGTCATTTCAGACAGGGACAGCAAGCAAAGACCTGGGCTCCAGAAGGAAGGGCGGATGACCAGCTCTGGGAGGACCAGAGGCCAGTCTTGAGTTCCAGGAAGCTTGCCCTTGGTGGGTCAATGGAGCTGGAGGGGCCTGCAGGGCCTGCCTGGCTGGAGGTGGAATGGGTGGGGACAGAGGCCAGGGCGTGCAGTGAGAGCCCTCGCCCTGATGGCCTCCATGTCCTCAAAGCAGATGACCTCACGAGGCCCCTCGAGCTGGCTTCCCAAATCCCCAATAGTGCTTTCCTGTCACCGTGAGGGGTAGCTCCACTTACCCAAGGGCCCATAACTCCGTGATCCTGCCGTCAGCTTCCCACCACACAGGTTCACTGCAGAGGGGACTTTGGCAAGGGCCCCCAGACCAACACGTGCTGTGCTGAGTCCCAGCCTGGGGCTGGGAGAACAGTGGGCAACCCTGAGCCTGAATAGCTCACCATCACCGCCATGCTTGCCGCAACCCTGAAACACGCCTGGTACGTGACGCTGCCCAACACGACAATAATTTTTTCTTGGTGTCTTGGCTCTCAGGCCCGGCCCTGGAGTTTGGGGACACTGATTCAGAAAATGGCACTGGAGAGGCCACATCATCTCTCATTTCTTAGAGATGGTGTTCCACTATGTTTTCAGCTATTAAGTTAGACTGATTTACTCATTTAACATCCTGGTTTTTAATATGAAAAGAATTCAGACCCAGGGTAAGGCAAAAAGGGTAAGAAATATTTGGAAAAGAATTAGGTATGAAGAGACTTCCAGGAGAAGTTGTGTAGGGACGCGGGGTGGCTGGTTGACTGCACATTGAGCTGGCAATGGTAAGGTCAGTGGTTCGAACCCACCAGTCACTGTGCAGCCTTGAAAAGATGTAGAGGCTTGGAAAGCCAAGTGACAGTTCTTCTCTGTTGCTGTCCCTCTCCCCTGACTGGTCTCTCCAGACAACGTGCCCACAATATGTAAGATGAGGTCTCGCCATCCTTGCCTCTAAGGAGCACTCTGGCCATCCCTCTTCCAAGACAAATTGGTTTGTCCTTTTAGTAGTCCATGATACTTTCAATATTCTTCTCCAGCATCACAATTGAAATGTATCGATTCTTCTTCGGTCTTTTTTATTCAATGCCCAACTTTCACGTGTATGTGACGCAATTGAAAATACCCTGCTTGAGTCAGGCACACCTTAGTCCTCCAAGCCACAACCTTGCTTTTCAATACTCTAAAGAGGTCTCGTGCAGCAGATTTGCCCAATGCCACTCCTCTTTTGAGCTCTGCCTGCTGCATCCATGAGCATTGATTGTGGATCCAAGCCAGACGAATCCTTGACAACTCTCACTTGACCTAAATACTTAGTACAACACAGCTACTTTAAGCAGAGCCCCCGTGCACATCCTCTGCCTCAGGCTAGCTCCCACCCCTTAGAAGATCCTGACTGTTACGGGGGCACAGAGTCAAGAGTGGCTCATGGCATAGGCTGACTCAAAAACTAGAGCTGATCGGGGCACACTGTGCCATTGGTGGATCAGCAGGTCAGAAAGACCCAGGAACAAACCTAACATTTGACAGACCAGAACACGTGTGGGCCAGTGTTCATTTTCCCAACAGCAGGGGAGACAGGAACCTTTTTTACAAGAAACGGAATTCAGACAGATTAGGTCCGTGGCTGGGTGGTCTGTGAAGGAGCAAAGACTTAAACTCTGTATCTGTTCTCTCTACCCTGCCTGCTTGGTCCTCCATGATCCCGCCCTTCGGGAACAGCTGCTCACCTGCCTGAGACTGGGAGGGCAAGTCCTGGCAGGCAGGAGCGGTGCCTAAGGTCCCTTAGCCAGCCTGGGGGAGGGGTGCGATGTGTCCTCAGCACCTCCCGCCTTTCAGACCAGCTCTCCTGCCAGCCCCGCATCCAACAACACTCCCTGCAGATGGGGACTCCAGCCTCCTAGCTAATGAATCACACCCTCTCCTGCCCTGTGTGATGGGAGCCCACCTCTGTGCCAGCCATCAGGGGATATTGAGGCCCTCAAAATCTTACCAAAGGCTTGGGGTATGAACCCTGAGCTGGACCAAGAGGAATGTCCAGAATGAACCCCACCCCCACCCCCGTGGAGCGCACGCGCGCGCGCGCGCGCACACACACTGCACCACCACCGCCACCACCAAGCGCCCACTGGCCACACACCCATGCCCTGAGACTTGAGCAAAGCGGCTCCAATGCCTTAGATTGCTTGGGGTGTAGTGTGCCTACTCTTCCCTTCAGAATTTGGTTTGGGGTGTGCGGTAAGCTGCAGGCCCGCCCCAGGGTGCCCAGAGCTGCCGTGGGGTGGGGGGGGGGGAGCAGGGCCAGCCGGCTCAGCTGGGGGCACCTTGGTGACGCTGCAGGTGTGGCCGGTTGATCCCCTGTGGAGACAGTAAAGATTAAGAGGATCATAACTGCGTCCGAGCTGCTCCCTGCAGACGGGCCTGGAGGAGGCTCCCAAGTTCAGACAGAGAGTGGACCGCAGACAGAGGGAGAGGCGAGAAATAGAGAGGTGGTGGCCTCGGCCAGGGAGAAGGACAAGTGGAGGCAGGAGAGAAGACACCGGGAGAGGGCAGCGGAGGCTCGCTGGTTCGGCCAACTAGGAGGAAGTCAGAGGCTGCCTGGGACCGTCCCAGGCCGGCGAGGCAGCTCCGGAGTCCAGCATGGCTGCCTGTGCGCCTGCAGTGCTCGCTGCCTCCAGGAAGGAGCCCCCAGGCAGCTGGGGCCTGGGGGAGGATCTGACAGGTGCGGCTCTTTAGGGAGTGACAGTCCGGGCCCTTGGAGAGCCGGTCCGGTCTGGGGTTTGCAAAAAGGAGCCTGATCACCTCCGGCTCAGCACCAAGGGCTTTGGGGGAAAATGGGGGCACCAGCTGGCAAGCCTACATGCCTAGGGTGGCCAGAGCCAAGGCAGATGGCTGGGCTGCCACGAAGAGAGTGAGCAGCCACAGGCCGTGTCACCTGAGAGACCCCTGGGGATGTTGTCCCCAGAGAGTGACCACTGGTGCAGACACTCGCCTGCAGACAGCGTGGGGGCAAAGCGGGGCAGGGAGTGGCCCTGAACATTGGCCGTGGGTGGAGGAGGGACAGAGGCGGCAGCTGGGACGGGCGGCTGGGGGTGGGGAGGGCCGCATGGACCCTGGCAGCCCAGGCGGGCCCTGCCTCCGCAGGCGCGGGCTCGGCGCTCCAGTGCCGCGTGTGCGGGGACAGCAGCAGCGGGAAGCACTACGGTATCTACGCCTGCAACGGCTGCAGCGGCTTCTTCAAGCGCAGCGTCCGCCGGAGGCTCATCTACAGGTGGGCGCGGGGCGGGCGCCGGCCTGCGGAAGCCGCCCTGGGGTCTTGGCCCCGGGGGCTCCTGCGACGGGTGGAGACCGGGGGTCTCCGACCAGTGATCCAGCGCTGGGCGGGGCTCCCCATCTTCTGCAGATGCCAAGTGGGTGCGGGGATGTGCCCGGTGGACAAGGCCCACCGCAACCAGTGCCAGGCCTGCCGTCTGAAGAAGTGCTTGCAGGCGGGCATGAACCAGGACGGTGAGTCCGCGCGTCGGGGGTTGGGGGGACGGGGGAGACAGCGGGCCAGGCGGCCCCACCCTGCCCCCCACTCCCCCCAACTGGCTGGCTGCGCTGACCCGCCTGCCCCCGCAGCCGTCCAGAATGAGCGCCAGCCCCGGAGCACCGCCCAAGTCCGCTTGGAACCCGATGCCGAGGCCCAGCCTGGGTCCCCGGCGCTCCGGCCACCCCCAGTGGGGCCCAGCCCACGGGGCCCCACCCCTGTGTCGACAGCCCGAGCCCTGAGACCCGGGGTCCCCACACCACCTGGGCCCCACCACTTCATGGCCAGCCTCATCACCGCGGAAACGTGCGCCAAGCTGGAGCCCGAGGACGGTGAGTGGGAGGTGCGGGGAGTTGGGGCTGCACCTTGGCCCCTAAGCCACGGGGGCCTCCCCTCCCCCGTGATGCTGTCCCCACTCAGATGCCCCCACCACGCCCCTCCACACCCGTCCCCCCTGCAGCCTCCGCTGATACCACCCCTCCCTACCGGCAGCCGAAGAGCACATTGATGTCACCAGCAACGAGCCTGCGCTCCCCTTGTCCCCTTACTCGTCCCCTCCCTGCAGCATCCACGAGACTTCGGCCCGCCTACTCTTCATGGCCGTCAAGTGGGCCAAGAACCTGCCCGTGTTCTCCAACCTGCCCTTCCGAGACCAGGTGCGCTGCAGTCGCTGCCTTGCCGCTAGGGGAACCGGGTCCCTGTGCAGGTGGAGATGGACGCTGCTGGGGCTGTGCACCGCCCTGCCAGCAATGATGGTCAGGGAGGTGGCAGTAGGGGGAATACACACCCCCCTCTGGGGTAGCAGTGACCATCGGGGTGCGCAGGCAACAGGATTTGAAGCCAGCGCCTTGCAGTCTTCTTCCTACACAAATGCTCATCTGCAGGGTTCTGACACCCTGGACAGCACCCTGCCTGACTCAGGGCTCCCTTAGCACCCAGGGCTCCAGGCTTGAGTTTCCACTCCCCCTCTCACCCTCTCCACCTCTCCGGGAGAGCAGAGCCCAGGCCGTTCCCCAGAGCTGTGTGTTTGGAGAGAGTAGGTCAGAAGGGTCAGGGGTGGTCTCCTGGACGCCCAAGCTAGGATGCTCTGGGGAAACGGTCCAGTTGCCATCAAGCTCACCCATGGTGTCAGAGTAGAATTGCAGCCCACAACGTTTTCGATGATGATGTTGATGATGATGATTGGAAGTTGACTGCCAGGGTTTTCTTCCAAGCTACCTCTGGGTGACCTTGACCCTCTAACCTTCAGGTCAGTAGCCAGGTGCAAAAACCGTTTGTACCACTATTGTTTGCTGCTCTGTCGGCGCCCAACTAGTAGATGCCCTACAGGCTACAGAGGAAAGTGACCCCACAGGGCTGTCTTGGCTGCAGTCTTTGTGGGAGCAGTTAGCCAGGCCTGTCTTCCAAGGCAATACTCTAAGCGTTCCTAAACATTCCGAAACATTCCAGGTGCAGCTCTGGGGGGAACGGAATTCAGAGTGCCTCAGAGCTAGACAGCCCCCACTGCCATCAAGTTGATTCTAACCCATAGTGACCCCTTAGGAGAGAGTAGAGCAGCTCCTTAGGGTTTCCAAGGCTCTAAATCTTTACAGGAACAGCTTCATCATTCTCCTGCCGAGCATCTGAACCACCAACATTGAAGTTGGCTGCTCAGCGCTTATCCCACGGCACCACCAACACTCATTAGAGCTGGGCAGATACTGAACTCCAGAGCTCTGGACCAGGACTGATTGGAGGTCCAGGGCAGGGGCTGTTTTTAGGCAGAGATCAAGAGACTGTTCTGGGTGGCCAGGACTCAAACATCTGTTCCCAGGGACCTCAGAAGGTGCCAGGGGCTCTGGGCTGAGCCGGGAGAGCTCATCTCTCTGAGGCTGACCCCTCTTGCGCACAGGTGATCCTGCTGGAGGAGGCATGGAGCGAGCTCTTCCTTCTTGGGGCTATACAGTGGTCCCTGCCTCTGGACAGCTGCCCCCTGCTGGCCCCGCCTGAGGCCCCTGCCGCCGGCAGCTCTCCCGGCCAGCTCAAGCTGGCCAGCCTGGAGACGCACAGCCTGCAGGAAACCATCTCACGGTTCCGGGCACTGGCGGTGGACCCCACAGAATTTGCCTGCATGAAGGCTCTGGTCCTCTTCAAGCCAGGTAGCAGAGTCTCCATCTGAGCCTTCTGGGAAATGGCTGGAGAGGAAGAATGGGATACTGATGTCTGTCCTCTGCTCCCCTGTCTCCCACCTCACCCCACAGTGACCCACACATGTGCAGGCATCTTCCCTGAGGGCCAGGAAAGGAGAAGGGCAGGCTTGGGCTGACTGGGGTTGGGGCAGGGCAGGCCGGGCAGGCTGGGAGAGACCAGAAGCCCTCACTGACGCTACTTCTCTCTAGAAACGCGGGGCCTGAAGGACCCTGAGCACGTGGAGGCCTTGCAGGACCAGTCCCAAGTGATGCTGAGCCAGCACAGCAAGGCCCATCACCCCAGCCAGCCTGTGAGGTGACTCTGCACCCCTCCATCCCCTTGCCCGCTTCTCTACCCTCTGCCGATGGGTCTCTGTCCAGCCAGTACAGACCCAGCACCTGCTGGGGGCCAGGCACTGTGCCAGGCTCTGGGAGTGGGAACCACAATGTCAAGACAGAGAGTTGCTGCCCAGCCACCACCAGGGCCAAGACCGGTCCTGGCCAGGTGTTGAAGGTGGCATGACTTTGCAGGAGACAGAAACCCGTTAGGAGTGAGGGGGAGAAGAGAAGCGAGAGGCACTTGGTGGGAGCAAGCTTGGGCTGGGAAGGAAGGGTGGGGTTCAACAGAAGAGAAGACATTATTTGCAGAGGCCAAGAAAGGAGCGAGGCAAGTATGAGGTGCTCAGTTGGTTCCCGCAGTGAACAGATGCCATACCTGATGTGGTCGGCAGAGGGGAGGCCCTGCAAGTGTTAGAGCAGCGTGGTGGCGTGCAGCTGTGAGTAGAAGCAGCACCACTCGGGAGGGGCGAGCATCCGGGGACTCCCGGGAGTCCAGAGATCACAAGTCCAGAGAGAAGGTGACAGGTGTCAGAAAACCTAGGAGCTGGGATGGGCAGACTTCTGGCATGAGGTTGGAAGGAGAAACATGGGAAGAAAAGCTATTTGGGAGAAACAAATGTTTTCAAAAAGCACTCAAAAACTACCCTCGAGTCACTTCCAACTCATAGCCACCCTATAGGACCGGGTAGAGCTGCCCCTGTGGGTTTTCGAGATATTAACTCTTTACGGAAGTAGAGAGTCCCTTCTTTCTCCCTCGGAGCGGCTGGAGGATTTGAAATGCTGACCTCGCAGTTAGCAGCTCAACTCGGGCATCCCGTACAGTGACCCTGCTCCAGCTGGGGTTGGGAGAGTGTGGCAGAGGACTGGAAAGGCGGGACGAGCCGCCAGTGCTCTGGGATGGCCTGGTTAGGCCCAGCACCTGCAGATCCAGAGGAGACCTGGCAAGGCTTGGCCAACTGGCCGTGAGGCCTCTGCGAGGGGCTGCGCTTTGTAAGGAAGTGGGTTCCCACAGGCATCCGCCCGTCACATCTCGTCTATAAATGTTTCCAGGAGGTTTCGGTGGCCCAGGACGAGACCACGCAGCACCCAAGACTTGTCTGCTGCTTATGCGAATGGGGGAGACCGATGCTTAGCTGAGGCCCAAGCACCTCCTGCGAGTGCGCCTCACAGCAGGGGGATGCCACACTGGGGGGATGCCAACTACACTGACACTGTCAGAGGGGTGACCCCAGGAAGGCCTATTCCTACTTCATATAGAGAGATAGAGATGACACAGATAATAGACACACATGGAATTTCTACTAACTAACCATGCTGTAATGGTCACAGAGCTAAGGCGGGCAGGGACAGTACCACTAATGGCCCTCCCTCCCTCCACCCCAGGTTTGGGAAGCTGCTCCTGCTCCTCCCGTCCTTGAGGTTCATCACCCCCGAGCGCATCGAGCTCCTCTTTTTCCGCAGAACCATAGGGAACACACCCATGGAGAAGCTCCTGTGCGACATGTTCAAGAGCTAACCTCTGGACTTCCGACGGAGGGGAAGTTTGTCCCACCCTCCGCCCGCCAGACACTTGCTACTGTCTGACCCAGCGATTCTACTTGTGGGGGGGAACCAGCAGAAATGTCCACCCACAGAATGTTCCGGCAGCTTTATTTCTATTAGCCCCCAAACTGTACCCCAACCACAGACTGAGGGAAGGTTAATAAACTCTCGAGATAGCAGCACGCTGTTGGCTGTCGGACACTGCGGAATTGATTCCAACTCTTGAGAGACAGAGCACAACTGCCCCCCATGGGGTGTCCTTGGCTGTGGGCCACCAGGGCTTCCTGTTGCCCAGCTACTGGGTGGGGTTTGAACCGGACACCCTGTGGCTAGCAGGCAGGCACTTAGCCAGTTACACAAGGACTCTTTTGTGCTATGTACCATAAAACCAACCCCGCTGCCTTGGACTCAATGCCTGTGATCGGTTCGAAGGCTGTAAATCTTTCTGGGAGCAGCCAGCCTTGCCTTTCTCCTGCAGAATGGCTGGTGGGTTTGAACTGCCAACTCTGAGGTGAGCAGGCCAGCGCTTACCCCACAGCACCATCAGGAACAAATGCACCCCACCCCCTTGCCCCCACCCCCGCCCCGCCTGCCCCTCTCCATCTCTGCACCCAGAGAAGCGCAGGGCTCCGGAGGAAGGAACCAGCTGTGTGAGCTCCCTGGTGGTTTTCAATCCAAGCCAGAGCTCAGGTGTAAGGAGCCCAAGCCAAGGGGAGCATTCCCCCTCAGGGTCCCACAGAGTCACTCCGAATGATATCACTTCCCTGATCCTCCCCGCTCCCTCTGCAAACAATCGTGGGTGCAACTGGGAGGGGAGGGGGGCTACAGGCAATCACTCTCCCTTCTGATTTCCTTCTGGAAAGGTGAAGCCCAGGCAAAGCCATCCTTTTCCAAAGCAGACCCAGGAGACCCTGAAGATTGTTTTAAAATGTAAGAGTGAACACTCATTGAGGACTTTCTAGCCCAGGCGTGAGCAGAGCACTCTGTGCTTTCTTAGCCCCATCCTTGGAATAGCCTGGGGGGAGGAGGAAACCAATTATAAATGGGGAAAGATAGCGTCTGGGGTCTTAAAGGCTTGAAGGTAATCAAGCGGCCATCAAGCTCAGAAGCAACAAAGCCCACATGGAAGAAGCACACCAGCCTAT